ACGACGGCGAGACTGCAGCGAGAAAACGTGAGAGAAAGAGAGAGGGGGAGAGCGACGACACTAGACTAGAAATAGAGAGGAGATAGTCAGAGAGAGAGAGAGGGAGCCCGAAGAGAAGACGTGAAGACGTGAGACAAAGAGAGAGATGGAGCCCGATGAGAATACGTGAAGACGTGAGAATGAGAGAGAGCAGGAACGATGACACTACACTGAAAATAGAGAGGACAGAGAGTCTAAGAGAGAGAGGGAGCCTGGTGAGAAGACGTGAGAGAGAGAAAGCAGGAACGATGGTGAGACTGTGGCGAAAAGACGTGAGAGAGAGATAGACAGAGCAAAAACGATGGTGAGACTGTGATGAGAATGACGACCAGACTGCTGCGAGAAGACGTGAGAGAGAGAGAGAGAGAGAGAGAGAGAGAGAGACAGAGCAGAAACGACGGCGAGACTGCGACGAGATGACTTGAGAGAGAGAGAGTGTGGGGGGAGCGATGACACTAGACTGGAAATAGAGAGGAGAGAGAGTCTGAGAGAGAGAGAGATATAGAGCCTGGTGAGAAGACATGAAGACGTGAGAGAGAGAGAGGGGGAGCAAGAACGACGGTGAGACTGTGGCAATAAGAAGTGAGAGAGGGGAGGAGAGCGATGGTACTAGACTAGAAATAGAAAGGAGAGAGAGTCCGAGAGAGAGGGGGGAGGGAGCCCGGTGAGAAGACGTGAGGACGTGAGAGAGAGAACAGAAACGATTGCGAGACTGCAGCGAGAAAACATGATAGAAGGAGGAGAGGGAGCCCGGTGAGACTACGGTGAGACTGCGGCGAGAAGACATGGGAGAGAGAGAGAGGGGAGAGTGACGACACTAGACTGGAAATATAGAGAAGGGAGAGTCTGAGAGAGAGATGGAGCTCGGTGAGAAGACGTAAAGACGTGAGAGAGAGAGAGAGAAAAACGACGTGAGACAGCAGTGAGAAGACGTGAGAGAGAGAGAGAGAGAGAGAGAGAGAGAGAGAGAGCAGGAGGAGGGCGACGGCACTAGATTGGAAATAGAGAGGAGAGAGTCATAACAGTTTTGATTATTTCATTCAAATTCACTTGTATTTTAATCTTCACAGTTTTGATTAGAAATAGACAAAAATTAAATTTTACTATTTTTAAATTGTTAACTAAGAACAAACATGTTTAGATAATGATAAAATAAGAACAACTTAGGAAAAGCAAGATCAAACAATTTTAAATAAATTAATAAATATAGTTACCAGGTAGGAGACATTAATGCTGTAGTTTTCTATGTAGCAAAAAGCTTAATCAACTTTTCTTAATAAAATAAAGCATTTGCCTATTTCAAGGAGTCCCTTATGAAGGGGGGAAAAGATCTCGTCCTTTTCTGCTGCCCATTGATGCCGGTTTTAAGGAATGAGCAGTCTAACAATTATTATAATCATGTGTTTAGGAATTGATATTGTATTATAGTGATGGGAAGGAGGGGACAAGAGACGAGATTGTCAGCTAGAATTTATTTTTGTCGCATCCCACAATAGACGACATTAAAAGGGTGTTTGTTTCAAATCCTAAAATTTATGGATATGGATTTCACCATAGAATTTGAAATCCATA